ATTATTTCTTAATAAAATTATAAATTTTAATATAAAGAGAAAATTTTAATTTTCATTATATTTTATTAATAAATTTAGTCTCTAAGTTATTACTTTTGATTATTATTATAAGTATTTATATATTATAAATTATTATTTATCTATATAATTATAAATAATTTATTTAAATATACTATTGTATTTTTAATAATAATAATATTTATAATTATAATAAAGTTTTAAGTTTTTAATTATAATAATTTATTTATTTTTAAGTTTTTAATTATAATAATTTATTTATTTTTAACTTGATTTTTTATATAAATCTCTTATTAATAACTTTATTATTATCTTGATTTTTATATAAATTTTTTAATAATATAATAGAAAAATTATAATTATATTAATCTTATCAATTATAAAATTTCATATTTAATTTATTTTATAATAATAATATATAGATTTATCAGTTATAAAAAAAATCTAAGTTCTATAATAATCTAATAATTTTAATAATTTTAGATTAGAAATTTAATATAATTAAAGTCTTTAATATTAACTTTTTATATCTAAAATTCAAAATAATTATATTTTTATAAAAGAAATTTATGAAGAATTATTTTAAAAATAATAATATGAAAGAGAATTTGATATTATAAAAAAGTTTTTAATCTAGCTATTATAATAAATAGAATAAAAGAACTTTATAAAGTTTACTTAAAGTTAATTAAGAATATAAAAGCTAAAATTATTAGTCAAGCTAAGAATAATAATATTACTAAGTTTGCTTCTATTATTAATAATCTTATTATTATTAGAAAAAAGACTAAATTTTAATTTAAATAATATAAATATAAATTATAAAAAATAAAAAAAATATTTAATAATGATAATAAAGAGAATAATTAAAAGTCACAAGATTTTGATTATATAAATACAGATCAAGAAGGTGAGCATTATTGAATTGCAACTAGTTATAATCTTAGTAATTTTAAGTTGCAATATTATGATAAATAAAGTATTATTATGCTGTAATATTTGTAATATTCATTATTAGATACAGATCTAAAAGAGATATCCAAATCTAATCAGGATAATAATAATAAAATTCTGCAAAATTATCATATAAAAAGCTTTGGATGATATTACAAATGATTTGACAAATAAGAAGACATGTGGCATTTATAATGAGAAAGGGTATAATGCTTAAATATGTTTGTAAAAGAAGACAGAAGAGATCATCACCACTAGTTAACTTTGAAATTAGCAGGCAAGAGAGCAAAAGAAGTGTTTTTATAATGACAAATCATTTTTTTGAAACTAAATAAGTTTGTTATTTTTTCAAAAAGAAACTGATGAAAAAGTTACAATATATTAACATTTATGATATATATGACATGTACAATATAATGATATAATGATGGAAGTATATCATATTAGTGATATAATGTAACGCATATTTTATTATAAACATATGCCTTATTTATTGGTTGAAAAATAAAATATATGACTTTTTTACCACTGGTGTTGAACATCACCGGTGTGATTTAACAATGTTGTTAAATTTATTCTAAACTTTTTATTTTTATTTAATATTTTGCTTATTTAGCTATTTAAATTTTAATACTGTCCACAATATGCTAGCCACCGAATGTCTTATTAACGATGCAGTAATTTTTCAAGTTTATAGCGAGAACAAGCTCCCCAGATGAGAAAGATTTTAAGTATAAGAAATACGAATAATACGGTACTTTTACATAAGAGTGAGCGAGTTACGAATAACAAGGTACTTTCGTGGCTTTGGCAGATATTAATTAGTGTTCAAACGCATAGAATGAAATTAAGACTTATGTAACATAAATTCCTTACTTGCGCGGATACAACGGTAATAATTTTGCAGGAATAAGCATTCAAGTATGCTGTTGCATGGAAATACATTCTGCATATGGATGGATTTTATAAATTCTCCTACGCTCACCAATGAAATCAGAGCATCAACAAAAAAATATGTCTACGTCTTCTCGTGTTGCTAGTAGCACCCGATGTAATATAGACCCTTATAATCGTTTCGCGACGCATGCATTCGCTGATAAATATCCCAACATAGGTTATATACAAAAGACATGCAATTTCTACCAGTAATAAACATTTCTACAGAATAATTTTTGAATTTAAAAAATAAACCAAAGATTAGTCAAAGAACCAAAGATACTCAGTAGTTTTGTTCGTGATAACACAGAAACTGCTATTATGTTAAGTAATATTGTGAACGTGCGAAGTATGCTATAATACAGTATCATTTTTTCTTGCGCTGCCTATTGTGTGTATGTATAAGTGTGTGCGCACTCGTTTCTTTTTTTTTTAGGAATTTAAATGAATTTTACCGTTGCATATATTATTTCTTTATTTATGTATGTATGTATACCGTAAAGTCCCGCAAATAAGCAACCTCCTAAAATAAGTAACCTCCTCTCTTGAGGTCCAAATGGTTTGAAAAGCTGAATAAGCAACCCCTTTTTAGCAATCAATTTTTCTACATACATGTATTAATAGAGATCTGAATTCGACACTCTTGTTATGTTTATAACTAACTTTGAAATTCCTTTCCCTTGTCACGCTCGTAACAAATGATATGAGTGATCGATAAAATTTGGCATTTGGGCCAATAAGAATTAAGGGCCCGACGGAAAAATAAATAAAATAGCTGTATAACGGCAGTATAAAAAGAGAAACTCCTTAAATCTTCTGAAATAAACATTTTTATTGGCAACTATAATATACTTTCATAATGAAATAGATAATAAATTAATAAATAAATACATATACGATTTGAGTACAACTTAACTTTATGAGCCTTAATGCACAGAAAACACAAAATTGATGTCGTCAAACTTTTTTTCTTGATGGGAGAGACGAATAATGAAACATATGCAATATTTTATTGATTTAGAAGTTTACGTTCTTTAATTATAAAAGGAATCGTTTGTGTTTCTGAACGTTGCAAAATTTTTATTTTTTAGTCGTATTTTTAAATACACAACGTAATCGTACACGGGGCCTAGCTAAAAAAGATTTAATACAAGTTACTTTTTTAAGGGAAATTAAATTTGATGCGGTATATTTCCTATCAAAAGGTTTATCTATCTCCTTGAATGATAATTTTTTTCTTTTTGATCATTACAAATTTGGCATACACTTTATTAGTAACTATGAATTAATTTGTTAATGATAAAATGGGCGTGCTTGCACTCCCTATTTTTATCTCGTGTTGTGAACAAGATCATTGTCAACTCTATTATAATTTCAAAAATAACATATCAAGGCCAATTAATCGTTATGTATTACAATAATAAAAACTTTCATACTCGAGAATGGTTATTACTAAAATGGGATAATAAGTAAAAATTAGATTATTCATTTAATTTCGAAATGATCATTTTTTTATTGTAGATACGAAAAAGCGACCGTTTAATAGTTCTTCATGTCCAACGCTTATAATTTGATATTAACAATATATGTGCATGTGATTGGAGGTTATGTTTTATTTTAGCATAAAAATTTAGAAAAAGAACTTAAAAAAATTTGTTATTGACTTAAATTATGTTAGAAATTGCATATATAATTGGACTTGAAGAACAATAAAATCGTATAGGGATAGTAATTCTTTAGTGATTGTAAAGAAATAAAATGAAGCTAAGTTGTTTTTATATGACTAGGTTCGGTTTAATGACGAAAATAATAACAGCAACGGGATTAATAACAGCAACGGGATTTCTCGAGATAAACTTATAAGGGTTGACGACAAAGATAAATTCGAATTTGGAGATAAGATTTAAAATAATTTTGTATCTTCTTTTCTCCAGACATCTTTTGAGTATCGATAAAATGGGCTCTCGGGATTAGCGATGGATGGCGTGGCTTCGGGTGTTTCTTGCTCTATGACATTCTTGATTAAACCTCCATTTTTCCATGCGATTCTACTGGACAACTTTTTTGACAAAAGTTCGTATTTTTTCTTTCTTTCAGGATCTAAGTTTTTCCACATCTCTTTAGCAAGTGGCGAAATTTTACTCGCATTTCTAATTCTCCCAGCGATTTTCAGAGCACTAGTGACATGTCTACGAAAAAGTAAAAATGGGTTGCACTTTTTTAACGTTAAATCTTCGAAATCTTCGAAATTTTCTAAATCTTCTAAACTAGGCATATATTCGAGAACGGTTTGTACATCGGATCGGTTTTTATCGTCTTTAGAAACCCAGGTGAATTTGCCCATTTCGAAAAGAATTTACGTCCGAAATATTTGTTTCGAGTACGATTTTTTGAAGCGCTTGAGAGTATTTGTTTCGAAGGAAAGTGTTCTTTATATAACAATTTTTTGCTTGAGATACGTATATTATATATCAAACGAAATTACAACAATATCCAAAAGTATATTTTTCATTAACGAAAGTATGAGGCCATTTCTTCTCTACTGTTCACCATATGGAGAAATGTTGTATGTCGAATAATTTCAAGTTAATGATAGCTTTTTTCCGAATTTTATCATTTTGTCATGTAAAAGCTTTACATGTCTGCATTTGTATATATTGCTCCCTTTACGCCCACGCAAGTATACACTCAATCAATATAGAATAAATTTGGGTAATTGGAGCTATTTCATTATTCGTAGATTAAAATTGGTCAGTAACGCGACTTAGTAGAAATAGTATTAACAACTCGAGCCTTTACAATTTAATATATAATAATATAATTTATATGTGGTCTTCGATTCTAGCATGCAAAATTTTAATCAATGTCGATTTATCGCATAAATTACCGAGACTTGATGATGATTATTTCTGTTGATTTAGCTCCAATAAAATTTATGCTGAGTGGCATTAAAATTACATATTCATATTGTTCATGGAAAAATGAGAGTATGGTCGGTCATTAGTACAAATGACAAAGAACAATATTAACGAGACAATAAAGATTCGATTAACGTGCATATTTTCGATATTATATTGAATGAATTGCTAAAGTAATTTATTGCATCTTTTTGACCACAGATCAATTTTAGATGTAACGAAATAATTCGCTTATTAGGTTATTGATCAATGAAAAATTTTGGTTCCGAATATTCGTGATTCGAGGGAAAAGCAATTCCGAATATTCATGAAAAACTTATATTACCATAAATATTTAAAAGCATCCCCTTTTTTCTGTATTTATCTCGTCATTTTAATTAACTTGAGCGCCTTCTGACATGGTTCAACGAGAGATCAAATTCGAGATAAATTTTTTGGAAAAATTATTATAATGCTAGAAAAAAATATTGTATCATTTAATGTAGGGAATACCTAATTCATCCATTTTTTAATGAATTAATGGTCTATTACAGTATGATACCAGTATTGTGACGTGTGATAGCCTCTATAAACATAAATGCAGGAAAGATCATCATAATAAAATTTTCGGTATATCTGATATACACAAAAATCTGAGTTCGATTTATCATTGTACCCGGGATATTAATATCAAAAATACTTTGTTTTGGAAGTTGAATAATGCCCCGTTATTACTTATAGTTTCATTGATGGGGATAAATTATAAGGTGATATTACATAAAAAAACACGTCACATATACATGTCATGTAACAAACAACATGTGTGCTACTTAACCTTAACCACATGAATATTGCGTAATATTATGGAAAAATTTTCATCCGACTCCGTTAAAAGATTCAATTCTAAGCGCCTATGGCTTAAGAATTTGCTTTTTTTGTGAAAGTACTAGGTATCGGGTATAGCGCAAACAAATTCCGTATGGCTTAAGAATTTGCTTTTTTTGTGAAAGTACTAGGCATCGGGTATAGCGCAAACAAATTCCGTAAAAGCTATCCCAATTGTGATATGCAAGTTTTGCAACGGTAAGTAAACTCGTTATCATATTTTTATGGAACAATCTGCAATCGAATTCTTTTTCTGCAATTCGAATTCTTTGAGATCTAACGCTAATAACTCATTTTTCTTTTTTCTGTAATTCCTTTATGCGCAGTCATGATTTATTACATTGTTATATTTATAATGTTCTTTTATAGAAAAAAAAGGATTTTTCTACGACAATAAATTTTATTAAACTTATAGAAAAAAAGGATTTTTCTACGACAATAAATTTTATTAAACTTATATCACAAGACGCAAAATATATTCGCAAATTAAGCTCGAATAACTGATTATATTCTCGTAAATTCTGATAAGTATTCTTTCAAAGGCTTCTATTATTCTTTTGCACCTTTTTTTAATTGGTCAATTTTCAGAAAATTTAATTATAAGGAAACATATTATAATTAGTTGATTTATTTTTAAATAAAATAATATCTTGGTTTTAATAAGATTTTAAAATTTCTTCTTTCCAACAGATAAAGAATAAGAGTATGGCTAAAATACTTTTATTAACTTTGAACATACCGATACTAAATGTAGTAATAGCGATGGATTAAATAAAATCAAACGCTGATCTTGGGAATGTATAAACTAGCTGCAGGTTAGTAAGTCTAAAACGAATTGCTTTAAATTGAAATAACAATGTTTCCAAGGTAACAATAACGGCGGCGGCGTTGATATTCCATGTAGGAAATTTATAAGTTGACGCGTTTATCAAATTCTAAAAATAACATACGGTAATAAATGGTGACCGGTAAATTAATGTATCACCCCGAAAAGTTCGAGTGGGAATATTAATTTCTCTTTTAATATATATTCATCTAATATTTTTGTTTTCCTTTGCAGTAGCAAATATAAGTCGTAACGTCTTTTTTCAAATTAATCCGAGAAGGGCTTTGTTATGGTTACTTGATTTACCTTAAAGTTCATTTGTATTTTATATTTTAAAACAAAGGTTTTTTTCAAATGACAAAGCGTAAGCTTCTATTTGCTACGCATAAAAATTGCTAACAAAGCCGATACTTTGTTTAAATAAATGAATTGACGCGTGACGTATTTGGAATTTACCTTTTAAGTTAAAGACAATCATTAAGTATTATTATTATTATTATTATTACTAAAAAGTAAGAAGTCAAAGTTTTTTTTGGAAAGATAACGATCTTTATTCGGAAAAATTTAAAGATCATATGAGTTCAGCATTATTATTCACCTTATTTATCTTATTAAATTATTAAAAATATGAAATCTCGATCAATAAGTTACTTATTTTTGTACATTATTTTAATCAGTAAACGGATCTTTATAAAGTATAAATACTAACAAAATTCAAGCAAAAAAAGATAGGGGTGATGATGAGAGAATTAGTTTTCATTCCTGAGACTAACGAACCTAGAAATGCTCCTGTTGGGGAGCCCAATAATTTGCATATTGAGTGGCCACCTTCTTTTGATTTCGAAACTTTATTCAAAAATGCAAGACGAAAAGAAAGGGCCCCAAATGCATTCATACTTTTTCGTATCAAATATTTGGAGAGTCTTCAACAGGTTGGCGTTAATTGGCCAATGTCTAAAGTAAGCCGCATGGCTGCCGCAGCTTGGAGATGTCAGCCAGAACATATAAAGACAAAATACAAATCTTTATCGTTCGCTGCGAATCTTTATTGGGCGGAATGGAATCCAAGACCAGGCGTTCAAAGAAATTCTCAACGGCTAGTAAACAGCAGCCCCACGCTTTACCGATCACCTGCATATATTGCCAACTTGGATACAAACAATGCGCAAATCTTTGGAGATGAGATGAACCCCGAATATGTTTGTTATTCGTTAAGAAAATAATTAAATCATGTTATCTCATGTATTTATTCATAAGTATTCATAAGATATTTAAATAAGATAATAAAACAAATAAAATTTAATTTTAAGACGCAAATAACTGTTTATTGACGTGAATATTTCGGATTCATGATAATCGACTCAGTCAATTCCCTAAAGATTGGCCGAGAAACATTCTGTGAGAATAATTGGAATGAAAACTTTTTAAAAAGCTAATTATATGAATAATGATAATTACCTACACACAAACTTTTTAGTAGTTATTCAAGCTTGTAATCCGAGCATAATTCGATGTAATTTAACATGTTTAGTTCACGAACATAGATATACATTATATTATATACGTCATATTCAAAAGAAAAAAGGAATTGCTTATACTAGTGATGATGATAAAGAAAATTTTGACCCCAATCAAGTTAAAAATTTAATTGAAAGATGATGAAAAGACAAGCTGTCTGTCATATCTAGTAATTTATCATGCGCCAAGTCAAAAAAAAATTACCCATTAAATTACGATCTTTCATTCCCACGTCTACATTAATTACTTTTTTGAATGATGTAAAAGCTCTATTTTTTACATACCATTATCTATCTATAAACCCACTTTTAGTTTAGCACTTTCCCTTCTAGGAAGTTTATTTATTCTTTGATTTGCCACAGTGTGACCAAAATAGGAAAATATCATTAAATATCATAAATGTGTTCCAAATTAGATAGTGACCCAGGTCTACAATCTCCCAGATTCTTAATCTAATTCGGGATCTAATTTAGGCCAGTTGTGATTTAATTGGAGTATTGTTATGAATCTTGATTTTATCTTATAAAAATGAAGCAGATTTTGTTACACAAATTTTCGCTTTTGTAACGTTCTTCCACATACACCAGTATATTAAAAGTTGAAACCAAAAATGGAATAGAATTTTTTTGTGCAAAAAAATGAAAAAGATGCAACTTTTTTATATTTTTGAACTTAATGAGCCAAAGAAGGCGAATGTTGCTGCTGAAGAACCCAAAAATTTGCACGTTGAGTGGCCGCCTTCTTTTAATTTCGAAACATTATTCAAAAATACAAGACGAAAAAAAAGGGCTCCAAATGCATTCATACTTTTTCGTATCAAATATTTAGAGAGTCTTCAACAGGTTGGCGTTAATTGGCCAATGTCTAAAGTAAGCCGTATGGCTTCCGCAGCTTGGAAACGTCAGCCAGAACATATAAAGACAAAATACGAATCTTTATCGTTTGCTGCGAATCTTTCTTGGGCGAAATGGAATCCAAGACCCAATGTTATAAATTCAGGAGTTCAAAGAAATTCTCAACGACTAGTAAACAACAGCCCCAATCTTTACCGATCCCCTGCATATTTTGCCAACTTGGATACAAACAATGCGCAAATCTTTGGCGATGAGATGAACTCCGAATAGTAATTCGTTAAAAAATAATTGAATCACAATTTTATCAATGTATCTATTTAATTAAGATAAAATTTGTATATGCAATTTATTTTATAGTTAATTTAATTTTATAAGACAAATAGTAACATACAAGCTAATTACAGTATATCTGAAATTTCATTTTTTAAAAAACTCGGATGTTACTTTTGTGGTGTACATGTAATAATTATGAGAGCCGCTATATGTAATATAAAGAATTATGCCAATGAAATTTAATTTTGTTATATATTTTGCAAATTCGTCCAATTTTAAAAAAATTCACTACATGTATTTAATTATGATAATTTTGCCTACATACGTGCGACATTGTATATTTGATTTCATTTAAGTCTAGTTTAATTGTAAATGTACATCTATAAATTTACAAAAAAAATCATTTGTCACATAATTCATTCGCCACTGACATTTCTTAACGAAAGCTTTCATCAAATATAATAAGTTGAGAGGTTTCAGGTAGTTACAATTTAATAAACTCTAAATTATTTAACTTATAACTTATAATAATATAGTAATTTGGTTACATAAAGAAACGATTGTCATAGGATTCGTCAATCATCAACTCGTCAAATCAAAAAATTGTTTAACGAAAGGTTTCGTCATTCATCAGTATCATTAACGTACACAGTGACTCTCGATACAATGGATAGTCTCGAGAAAAAATTTCAACATTCCAGTATATCATGAGTTTATTAGTAAATCCGTTATATTGAGTGAGATTTATCATGGCTGTTTTAAACCTCGTTATATTGAAATTTTAATTAGTCTCCGATATATCGAAAGACCGTATATCGAGCATCACTGTGGCATATATAATTATTATCATAAGACGCGTTCTTTTCATGTATTAAATATAGACTAGTTATGTTGAATTTTCTTACAGGATATTTGGCCAGAATAGCATACTCATAATTCTTGGTTATTTGCCGCAATGAAACAGTCTTACACACCGCTTCCCATTGATCTCCCTATTGTCGATCGAGGGTTTGTTGTGATTATTGATTCCGTCTTTACCGAATGTAATGATGTCAGATAAATATCTTAATATAAAACCTACGATGAGTAGTTGCCTCTTTGAAAAGGTCATTGTATGCTGAAAGCTTACAGGTCTGAATTTATCATTTCAAGCTTGCTTTTATTGCTTTTACCTTCTATTACTTTGTCTAAATTCGTTTTCTTTATGAAAGTATATATCGATTGGGTTGTTTCCTTTGATTAAATTCGGATAAAAAACTGATTTTAATATATTGAATTATATGAGATTGTTGTTTAGGTTGTCGTCAACTAGAGTTTAAACATTATTTTGAGCATCCTAGGAAGGCATATCCTTTATAGACAAACGCAAAATTATAAAGTGCATATTATTTATGAAAATAAATCATGTGGAAGGTGAGAGCCCCTCAATAATTACGTTATATCCATTTGTATTTCGGTATTAAATAAGGTCATGTTCCTATACAATACACAAAATGCATGTTATTTAGGAAATTTTTTATAAATGAAAAGAAAATAATAGATTACATTATTAATTAAGTTCACGTTGTAAATATGCAAAACTCCAAATGAATTACTACACTGAATGGTATCATATTTCTGATGATGAGGAAGATCTTATCGTCCAAAAAATGATTGTGATGATATTATTATTGATGAAGATGAATATTGATTATTAGCATTTATTACGTTGTATTACGTTGTCAGTAGTTGAAGAATTATATCCTTAGTCTTCCAGATATTCCAAGACAGATTTATGCGCCAGTTTTCTCGTAATACATGTATCATCTCTTTGAGTCGGATTTGTTTGGTTATTGACAAAAATTTTGCGCACTACTATTGGATGAATCATAAATCAATAAAACTGGTCAAATGTGTTCTATTTATTTAAATAAATAACATGTGCATATTATAGTCACACTTCTCTAAGTGCAACCCTCTTGGAACTATAGTAAGAAAAAAATATACAGTTATTTTAAACTGGAACAATGTATTTATACAGTACCGGACACTATAAATCATCCAATTTAGTTAGTTTATAGAAAGTATAGTAACTTAAAAACTAACGCTTAAAATTAAAAATCCTCTTACAAACTAATATATCTTTAGTTAAACTATAATTTTGTAAGAGGATTTTTTTTTTGCTCTATTTTAAAAGAGTTATAATAATTTAAACATTATTTAAAATTTTATAATAAAAAAAATATTGGCGCAAAGCTACATCAACTTTACACGTGACTTTAGATTTTTTATTGGCTAGCATTAATTCTAGCATTAATTTAATTCAAGCCTAAACTAAATTTTCTACATATACCACCAGGTTTTTATCATGTGTATTTCAACACTTACCTAATTTGGGCTCAGAGAAACTTTAAGTTCAATATTTATTATTTATTATTCTCTTATATCTTTTATCTCTTATTTTCTCAAGATATTTTCTTCTTATTTTGCTTTTAAAAAATATTTTTATAGAAGAAATATCTCAGGATAAGAAGTATCTTTTTTTCTATTATTATTATTAAAATTATACTTTAAGACTAGCAATTTGCTTTTTTGACTTGAAATATGAAAATTTCTAACTTTTTCAAATGAAAAGATCATTGAAACTTAAAATACACCCCCCTATCAAAAGTATCTGACACTTTGTGATTAGCAAATAAAATTATGTCTGTAGTATACATTCAAATTGAAATATCTCACCATATATCAAACTTAATTTCAAATGCTTTTTTTTCTTGAGTAAACAGAAATCACAGCTTTCAAAAATTATAGAGTCAAACTTTAGCTTTACATATTATATTTTATAAAAAATACCTAAGTCTCATGAACTTATCATCTTTGAATGTGGGATGATTATTGGACTTCACAAGAGTAAACATAGTACTACAGATATTCAAAAAATACTTGGAATATCCAGAGTTACTTGCATTAATATCATAAATAAATTTGAAATGAGAGACTTACTGAATCTCTTTCTCATTCAGGTAGATCATCTCTTTTGACTGGGTATGAAGCATAAACTCTTGTATGAGTAACTAAAAATAATAAGAAAGAGTCACTTGAGAAAATTATTAAGGAATTCAATAGTCTAGTTCTTATCCAGATTAGTACTAATACTGCTAGATATATACTTCATAACAATAAGTTTGTTAGATGTATTGGAAAGAAAAAATCCTTTATTTCTGAAAGTAACAGAATAAAATACTTAAAATAGTGTCGTAAATATAGAGGTTGGAATAAATAATAGGATATAGTCATTTGGAGTGATGAATTCTGCTTTCTTTTATTTGAAAATGATGATCAGCAATGGGTTTGGCATAGATCTCATGAAAAATATGACATAGAATATCTAGTACCTACTGTAAAGAGTAATAATAAAAGGATAATAGTATAGAGTTATTTCATTAAAAATTAACTTGGTTTATTGATAGTTTTAGAAGGAAAAATTACAGGTCAGGTCTATAAAAAACTTTTAAAAGATCATCTAATTCCTTTCATCAAAGATTTAGATGATGAAATAATATATATTTTTCAAGATGATAATACTCCTATTCATAGAGCTAACTCTGTGCTTGTCTAAAAAGAGAAAAATTTAATATCTTCTCTTCCATGGCCTGCTCAAAGCCCAGATCTCAATCCAATTGAGTATTTATAGGATCATCTTGAAAGAAAATTATACAAATACAAATCCATACCAAAAAATAAGAGAGAATTGACTTTAGTTTTAGAGGATGAGTGATTTAATATTGATGAAAGCATTTTAGAAAATTTAGTAAATAGTATATCTAGAAGAGTTACTGCTGTAATTGCTAGTGAAAAAAATTCTACTTCATATTGATGCTATAAATAAAAAGTTCATAACAAGAGGATTTCAAAATATAAATTTTATTAAGAGTTGTAAATGTAATTTTTGAGAAAGATCAATTTAAATATTTGATATAATTTTTGAATTTATACAGATTATCAAAAGTATCAGATATTTTTGATAGGGAGATAGATGCAGAGAAAATATTAGAAAATTTTTGAGGGCATAGTTTTGTACAGATCTTCAGGTCCAAAATCTGCGCAAAACTTCAAACCTGATGACAATTGATAAAGAAAAAAAAATTAAAAAATCTGTGCAGATTTTTTAATTTTTTTTTAAAATTCTGCGTAAAACTTCACAATATCAGTTTCAAGTAGCAGTAGCAATTTCAAGTAACTGTAGCAGTAGCAATTTCAAGTAACTATAAAATTCATAGGTTA